AGGGGGGGAGCGCCTCCCATCCTTTTACTGGCAACGTTTGGTGAAGGCTGTGCGCCCCTTTGCCTGCTGCCGGCTCTGCACCCCTTCCCTGCCCAGGACTGGACCAGACTGGCCACTTTCTCTTTCCTCCTGTTACCTATTCTGCCCTGCTCTTTCTGCATTCTGTTATTCACTTCTATTGCTTGACATTTACTGTGTTTATTAAGACACATTATAATGGCAAGAAATGAACAAACTTTTAAAAAAGGTAGAAAGATAAAAAGCACCCACAGTTGAAACATCCCACAAGAACCACACTTGAGTGTATTTTCTACACTTTCATGTATTTTTTCCCCTGGACGTTAGTGTGTTTCCTTCTATTTTGTACACTTTAATGTTCTTCCAGCGTTTTCTCTGGGGTGTGATCCTGAGTGTGTGGTTTTATTTTTGTACTCTGGAATCCTATTATATAGTTTATAGGGTAAGTCCATACTTAACATCATGGGGAGGTTCTTGGAAACTGGGTCTGTAAAGAAAGCAGGTCTTCCAATCAGGTTTCATTTAAAGTCATCCTGGATTATTATTTTTTGCCTCAACATTACAACAAAAAAACCAAGGGTCTGCTGTATGCTGATTTTGAAATTAAATTATGTATCCTGAGTATTTCTCCATGATGGATTTGATTTTTTTCTATAAAATAATCACCAGGGGCCTTCCCTGGTGGCACAGCGGGTTAAAGCACAGCACGAAGAAACTAAAGCCACTTCAGCATGAGTTCAATCCCACCTGCCCTGAAGGTGACCACATGGAGCGGCAGACCTCTCCTGACCCGCCCGCTGCTCCCCTCAGCAGTGTACTTCATCAGTCTGCCTGTTCTGCTCCCCACTCTGTCTCTGGTGAATCCTCTCACCAGCCCTGCACCTCTGGCCTATATCCCAGTTCTGTGTGCATAAATAAATACATCTTTAAAAAAATAAAATAATCACCAGTGATCCTGTAATACTGGAAAGCAAGTGTGTTTAAGCAGCCCCCACTTATAGGACATGGCCCAAAGGACTCTGGGACAGGTCTTGGAGATTACGACTTTTCAACGTTTGTGCACTCACTGTGCTCTCTGCCTTGGGTACTTCTTCAGAGCGGGAGCCACCCACTCACTGAATCTGAAGCCTGTGGGTCCTCCCTGGCCCCACCCTCCACCTCTCCCACCTGCAGTGGGGAGCAGGGGTGGTGTTTGCAGATCACCCATCACCCTGGCAGCAGATCAAATGACTTCTCACTTTGGTCCAGATATCCCTGCTGGACCTTCATCCTTCCTCCCAGCCTCTGTCCCTGACTGTCTCCCACACAGAGGGAGTGCCTCTTGCCACAATGAGAGGTTTCTTTTCTCCAAAAGTCTGAAGCTCTGTCTGGGTTCCATGCTCCCCTCTGCACAGACTTTCCTTTTGGCCACTGTCCCCTTCTGTCTCCCCAGATAATGTCTCTCCATCCTTCGGGTCATGTCCTATTAGGAGTCTGCTCAGCCCTATTCTCCTCCCGGCCTCGGGTACCTTGTCCATGGTCCCCAAGAATCTGTCCCATGGAGACCCTCATGAGGGTAGGCTCTGTTCCTATCAGGTTCCCTTGATCTTGAATGCCCAGCATGGCATATGGGAAGTGTTCAATAAATGTTGCTTGGAACATCAGTTGCTTAGGAAAGGGGAAGGAAACCTTCTCATGAGGCCTTGTGTGGGATGCTGTGAAGCTTCAGGCTAGCAGCTGGAGCCTCCAGCCCCTTTGGGGAGACTCGATTATCTCGCTGTGCAGGGAACGGAGGAGCTCAGAGAATTCTAGCTACTTGCCAAGGTCAGGCTGGGGAGAGCCAAACTGGGTTGGAACTTGGGTCTGTCTGATACCTGAGCCCGTGATCTTCCCCTTGCTTGGCTTAGAGGTATGCTCAGAAAACAAATCTATCTTCAAGCATTAAAAGATTTTAACTGGAAAGATAAAACGATAGATGAGAGAAAGAGGAAATCATAAACACAGGCTGGGGGAGGGAAGAGACAAGTCTCCATAAAGTGATTAAGAGCCAGACTGAGCAAGGAAGGGAGGAGAGGGGGAGACATTTGTCTGAATATGTGGCCTCAGCTATGTGGGTCACGCTATTTGGAATCCACTTAATTCAGCTGCCTTCAGCACTGCGGTTTCTCCTTCGGATGTTGGAGGCAGAACCAGGCTATAAAAATGTCATAAATCCATCAACAAATTCCCTCCAGCTCTCATGGTCTGGCCTTGGAGCCCCAAAAAGCCAGCTGTGGGTGGAGTGGGCGGTGGGCTGGAGGCTGGGGGACAGCAGTGCCAGGCTTCCCAGTGCCCTTGAGCTGGGCTGCAGGCGGGAGAATGATGGCTTCCGGCAGCAAAGGGCTGAGGTTAGACCCAAGGAGAAATCTGTCCACACAGGGTGGGCCAAGGGCAGCAGAAGGCACTGGAGCCAGCAGAGGCCTGGTTTGGGAGCTACCCGAGGGCAGACAGTGGCACAGCAGAGGCAGTCCCACCAGGAGACGCGAATTCTAAACTTGACCTGGCCACAAATACACCCCGTGGCCCGTGGCTGCTGAAGTGACTTGGATCAGCGTCCACCCTCCTTTCTGATCTTTCCCCTCGTGACTCTTATCATAGCTTCCCCTTTGCATTCATGATCACCCAACAGGAGACACGGCAAGCCCCTCAGGCGGCCCCCACACCCAGGTGGGCAGGGGCGTGGCCTCCGTGTCAGGACAACAGTGCCAGGAAGGGGCAGCCCGTGGGCGGAACAGGCAGGTGGACGTAAATGGTCTTTAGGAGCATGAAGGGACGCAATGGTCCCTTTGGGATGCTTGGGCCTAGCAGCCAGGCTGGGCAGCCATAGCCTTGATGCTGCCTCCAGCCCTGAACTCTAGACATGATCAGAGAGAAGCTGGAGGTCTCAGGTGAACACCCCAGAGATGGGGCGGCCTGTATGTGTTGGCAGCAAATTATTCCAATAGAAGGGACCTTGCTGTTGTAGGGACCAGGATCTGGTTTCTGGGGACAGGACAGCCCATTCTAAGCTGTTGTGAAGGAGATACATGCCCCAGTCAGGAAAGATGTCTTGGCTGTGGGGACAGTCTTACAGGGAAGAGATGAGTGCCGGAACCCCGCCAGCCCAGGCTTGTCCTCCCCCTTGCCGCCAGGCTCCCCACCCATTACCTGCTCCCCACGAAGGGCCTGGTGAATGGTGAGACTCCGGTTGTTGTGCATGGTGAACAGGATGACTTTGCCTGTGTGGTTGAAGCGGGGGGCTCCGGCCACGTACACACGCCCCTGCCGGGAGGACACGACCGACGTGACCGTGTACCCTGCCACAATAGGAAACAGGCTGGTCTGCGTATGTGGGGGGTCTCTGGGGTCCCTGTAGCCCCAAAGGCAGGCGCTTCAGGTTCCTTTCAGTCCACACACATGCACCACAAAAAGGAGACCATGAGAACTGGGGCTCCTTTGCCACAACCTTTGTTCTTGGGATGGCTATGCCTGGTGATGTGTACCTTGAGTTGTCCGTCTGGCATTCGGGAGATGAATGTGAGGTGTCTTCAGGAAATTCTCGTGATAGTGGGGACCTGGCAGGTGTGCAAGCCTGGAGTCCCTCCAGCTTTCTGGGAGGTGAGCTTGGATACTGGATCTCAGCTGTTAGCTGGGTGCCAGACTTTATTGGTAGTTTCTGGTAACCGTTTGTCACCTTCTGAGTATGTGTGCATGTGTATGTGTTTGTGTGTGTGGCGTTGGGAGGTAACGTTGTCACTCAGACCCTACCAGTTGCTTCCAGAGTGGCTCCAGGATGAGCTGATTCAGTGGCTGGGAGTGTGGGTGCAGTGGGTGGGTTACTTGGGTTCCAGGCAATGTTTTCCACTCTTGCAGGTGCATTCTGGATAATGAGGCTCAAGAGAGATTGGCAAGACCAGGATATCACATTTGTGAGTGCACAGCTCAGTGGCTATATATATTCAGTGCAGCCATAAATATATGAGGGCAAGGCAGGGTTAGCCTCATGGTAGCGAGCAAAGATTCTTCTGAGTTGAGCCTTCAGTGGCACTACTGAAGCTGCTCTCAATTGGTCCTGGTACTTTGGGCTTTCTCAGAAGGGCTTGGGGACCTCATGTCCTCCAGGAAGGTGTGGGCAGCTTGTAAATTTCCTAGCACCATTGAGAGCTTCCTGCTGCCAAGCAGTCTATTGGTTGTGGCTTTATTTCCTGGGTGGCTCTTTTACTAACTGGTGGGTCATTCTGGAAGCTGGACCAGCTTCCTGAGAGCCCTGATAAGAGGTTGGGGGAGACCTGTGGCCAGAAGCCCCTGCAGCTTCCTCAGTGTAAGGAGAGGCCTCCTCCCCCTATACCCTTCCAGAGATCCAAATACTGTTCTTGGTGGATGACTCCCAGGGGAGGAGAGAAGACATTTCCTTAGGACCCCACTCAAGATGGTGAGCCTGGCTAGGGCAAGACAGTGAGCCTCACGACGTCCCTTCAGCCTGGCTCTACCCCACCAGCGTTGTTTGGGAGAAGAGGGACAGCTCTGCTGGAGGTCGGGGTGGGGGGCATAGACTCCCTCTGTCCTCACTCAGATACCTTCATTAGCATCCTGCTGACAGCAGGGCAAAGCTCCCATGGGAGATCTCCCGCCACAGCTGACCCACCTGCCACCCTCCCCACTCTCCTGTTCCCTATAACACACCGAGCCCATTGTGGGCATGGAGCTGGGTGTGCTGGGGGAGAGATCTTGCCCCCCGCATGAGTTAGCACAGAATAGGCACAGACAGGCCTCTTGCCTCCTACGGTAGAGGTTGCTACATCTCCTGCACCCCTTCCTGGGCCCCCGACAACCAACTCCCCACAGCCCCAGCTCTGGTTTTTACCCAGGTAGGCCCCATGGTTCTTGAGCTCCTCGGGGAATTCTTTCAGGTAGGACTCTCGGAGAGGAATGAGCTTCCCGCCACTGGTCTCCTTGAGCACAGCTCCATTCCAGTCATAGGCACCGACGGCTCCCAGCAGAACCCCGTCCTGATGTTGGGAGGGGACACAGGTCAGCTACATCCCCCCTGGTGAGGGCCCCCACCAGGAAGCAACACCAGGTCCTGTGATCTTCAAGCATCTGCCAGCCCTCTCCAGGGCCTTCTCCTGGGGTTATATTTAATGGCCCCTCTGCCAGCCAGGATTCTTGGCTTTTGAATGCGCGAAGGATCTTCTTGCCCCATTTTGTCCTTAGCACAAAATGGGTCAAGCTGGTCCCCAAGATGGAAAGAAAGAAAGCTTTTAGAAACAAACTACCAGTCCGGACTTAACCCTCCACCCTTCTTCGGCCTTCAGAATCTCTTATAGGTAACCCTTCTTTCTGGCGTCCATTCAAACTGTGCCCTCCAGGTGCAGGTGATCTCTTCCACATTCCCGTGCACCATCTGAATTGCTCCCCAATTCTTAATTTCTTCAGTAAAAATTCACAGTGTCTACATTGTGCCAGGCACTTGCTGGGGTCTGGGAACATAGTTCCTGAACTCACACAGTTCAAAAAATACTAACAAGTACATCGATACAGTGGCTGCAAATTGCAGTCCATGTGCAGGGAGTTCCAAATACCATAGTGAGCTTTACTTTAAATTGAAATGAAGGTCAGGAAAAACTTCTTGAGTAAATGATGCTTACTGCCCACACACCTGAAAAATTAGGGTTAGACAGTAGAAGAGCTGGAGTGGAGGAGGACAGAATGTGCAAAGGTCCTGAGGCTGAAGAGAGGTTGCAACCTTTGGTTTCAAGAACTGAAAGTGTTTGATGTGGCTTGAGCATTGACAGAGACTTGCCCAGGCCTAGAGATGGGCTGTACAAATAAGCCAGGACCTACTTCTGTGCCGGCCAAACCCTAAGCCAGGCTTATTGGCAGGATTTGAAGTTCTTCCACCTTTTGGGGCCCAAGGTGCTCAATCTCTCCTCACCCTCAACAGTGCCAGGAGAGAAAATATGATTCTGGTCTTGGGTTGATCAGAGTATAACTGCCCGCACAGGCAGGGTCTCTGTGCACGGTTTCATCAGTGGCAATGAAGGGGCAAGACTTCACGCTTGCTTCACTCATTTCCTAGGTATCACTTTGAAGAGCAAAGTTGATCTTATCCAAGGGTTAAACCCATCCCAATATTCTAGTGACAGAACTGAGTGTTCAGACAGAATGTTTTTCTGGTCTTGGGAGCGTCTGCTGCGCTTGTGTTAATGTAGCACTGATCAGTTTTCTTCCTCCCACTCTGCAAGCCTCAGCCTGAGACAGGCTGACAATCTGCAGGGCCAGGACCAGGCCAGGGCTGCAGATTCACCGGCCACAAGCTCACCAACACCATTCCTCACACTTGGGGTGTGCTCCATTCTTTGCTTGCTCCTCCAGTGGGACAGAAGTTCATTATCTGCCCTTGACAAATGAGCATCCAAGGTTCAGAGAGGGAAAGGGACCTGCCCAAGGGCACACAGCAAGTCTGAGGCAGGTGGGGAGGTGATCTAGTAGAGGAGACTGCCATCTGCTTCCTGGACGTCTGGACTGTTTTGACTTTGTGTCTGAGCACCCCTCCGGGAGGAGGGAGATGTCTGGGCCTTGCTGCTCTCTCTGCCTCCCTCCGTGTCTCTGCCTGCAGAGCTCAATTTTGGATGCCAGTGAGTGTGGATATAGGTGGCCGTCAGGGAGGCTCTTGGGCCTTCTGAGGGCTGCCAAGTTTGTAACTGCAGACCAGGCTTTTGGCTTCATGGAATGTTCCTCTAAAGAGGAATTTCTGGCTCTGCAGATCATTTGAGGCTTCTGTGATGTACTGAGAGGGCCTCCTCTACCCAGGTGCCTGGGGTGCAGCAGGGAAGGCTGAGACTCCCCATTCGTGGAGTGTGGCAACCAGATGGGGGCCTCTGGACATGGCAGAATGGGGCTGGGCAATGCACATGGTGCCCTTCTACCCCAGAATGAGCAGCAGGCCTGGGCTCTCAGTGGAGGCCCTTTCCTGAGAGGGCCTGTTGGGGTTCCACGGAGGACAAGCTGCACTGTGGGCCCAGAGGATAAGCAAAGCTTACCCTCTCCCCACAAAAATAAAACAAGGACAAACTTCAATGTATTGCAATCTTTTCCCAGGTGGGGGAGCCCAGGCATTTTGAGTTTTGAAATGAATCTGGAAGGGAGGGGCTGCAGAAAGGGCCAGTCTTGAGGGAGGAAGCCAGGCGTGCAGGCCCAGCTGGAAGATAGAGAGCAGAGAGCAGAGGAGCAGCTCTCTCCCTCCAGGTGGTACCAGGTCCCTGATTTATGGCCTCCTTTCTGCTGGGGCCACCTGGTTCCCCCTGATAATACCAGAGAGTGCCTAGGAGGTGACTCTCTGGCGCTCTGTGCAGAAATGAGGATGCAGGCTTGGCCCTCAGAAGGGCCAAGACCCTCCCTGCGGACCACCCGTACCCACACTCACTGGGGTCCAGCATGCATGGTCAGACCCTGCCAGCTCAGCTCTTAACTGCCCTCCAGCCTGGCCTCTGCAGCTGTCTCGCCCAGCTGAAGCCCCTAGGTGGGGTGTGGACCGTGTCTCCCCAGATTCCATGCTGTATCCAGTCCGAATCTCCAGCCAGGGTTGGGTCCCATCCCGAAGTTGTCCAGGGTAGTGGACAACTGGGGGAGGGAGAGTCCCCAGGTAATACTTGGCAATGCCTGGAAACTATTTTGGTTGTCATTGCTAGGGGTGACATGGGTTGCTGTGGCATCTGGCAGGAGGAGGCCAGGGGCTGCTGACACGGACGTGAATAGGGCGGCCTCACAGAGAAGGACCATCCAGCTCCCACATCAGTGGGGCCGAGGTTGAGACCCCCAGGCCTGGTGGTGGCAGCATGAGCTCCGGCCAGACATTCCTGAGTTCTGAGTCCAGTGCTAAAAGCTCCAGTGCTTTTAGCTGTGTGACCACGGGCAAGCCACCCCCCACCCCCAAACATACACACACACACACATACACTCAGCCTCACGTTCCTCAGCTGTAACAGAGAATTAGCGTTTTAGTTCCTAGTGTGGCTCTTGCCAACCAACATGTTTGGGGCACATTGCAACTCTTTTCATTCATTAATTCCCCCGTCAAGTGCTCCGAGGGAGGTGGGAGTCAAACACAAGTCAAACCTCACAGTCAAGTGAGTATTACAGATGAGTTCTTACACACTCGTGAGTGGTGCCCTTTGGGGGGCAAGGGGAGCCTGTGGACACCCACAGGATGGGCTGTCTAAGGAGAGGGTGGTGTTTGAAGAGGGGTTTAAGAAAAGCTTATTTTATCAGCAAGTCTCACAATGAACACGTTCAGGTCCAGACCTCAACATTCAATTCTACAAATATTCCTTTGACATCTGCTCAAGGACTGAGGTTACGAGATTTGCCTGAGGCCACACAGCCAGGCAGCGCTCTCCTGTAGCCCTGCAGTAGTGAGTTAGCACCTGGGTGCCAGCCCCTCTTTCTGGCACGGGAGAAGTGGAGCTGTGGAAGTGGGTGGAGGGGGCTGGTGGCCCTGTGACCTGGCAGGTAGACACACCCTAGAGGCCACTGAGCTGTCCCCCTCCTACAAGTGTCTATGAGTGTGACTGGGTTGGGCAGGCTCCGTTCCCCAGGACACCTTCTAAGGCAAATGCATCATTAAGAGGGTAGACTGTACTTTCTTAACTAGCTGCTTGGATTTTTATCAATAGAACATTTGTTTTCAACAAGTTCAAAGTGGAGCCTGAAGAAGGGATGAGAGCAGGAGGTTTAGGAGGGAAAGACCCAGAAATGGGCTCTCAGACTTCCCATGGAGAGGAGCCCTCACCGCAGGCAGCCCTGGAAGCTGGCGGCCAAGGTGGCATGAAGGGGTGCTGGGAGGGGGAGGTGCGGGCTCACCAAATTTGATTGCATTCCAGATTGGAGGTCACAGAGGCCCTGGGCACCATGGGGCAGGCTTAGGGGAACCCACATGAACAGGGAATGATTCTGCCACCACCAGTCAATTTGCAAATAATTCAGGATAGCGTGCCAGTACCCTTTGGCTGCCATGGCCTGGGGCCCCAGGGCAACCCTGCTTACCTGCCCTAGCTGGCAGAGATGGTTGTCCAACACCTAGAGTTATGAGGAGTGCAGGAGGGTTTTAGAGTCTAGGTATCCACCCCACATGTCACCATCGTAGATTAGTTGTTTATTTGCAATTAACTCAGATGTGCAAAACTGGTTCAGAAGTAAATTTTAGGGAAGACTGCACTTCTGAGGTGTCAACTGCTAAGAAACTTCCAGTCCACCCTTATCCAGTCCACAAGAACCTTCCACTGTACAGTCCACAAGAATCTGCCACTGTCCAGTCCACAAGAATGTTTCACTGTCCAGTCTGCAAGAACCTGCCATTATCCAGTCCACAAGAATCTGCCACTGTCCAGTCCACAAGAACATTCCACTGTCCAGTCCACAAGCCCCAGAGGCCCTGGGGAAGGGCAGGAGGGAGACAGGGGTGGCATGTCTGGAGGAAGCTCCCTGCTCTCAATCTGATTCTAATGTAGCTGAAGGCTGGTCTTCCCCTTCATCGCTTGGAAGTTAAAAGGAAAAGTGATCTCTTCCTATCTTGGGGGAGTCACCAAGGATTTTGGGTAGACAAGATTCATCCCATAAAACTGCTTCCTGAAATAAATTGGGCTCTGGAGAGATTAATGAGCTGCAGTGTGGGAGGGTCCATGTGTTATACTGCCCACCAAGTTCTCAGACGGAGGGGCCACCCAGCACCCCCATTCATCACCAACGGGTGCCCATTATTGATAGTGCTCTCCTTTCCTCCACACCTTCCCATCGTGGCCGCTGAGAGTCCATTCTCCCTTAGCAGATATGGGTCTCTTGTGCAAGCTTCCTGGCAGATTCTTGCAGCTTCTTGATTACCCTGCTTCACAGGAAGTTCACCACCTTAGCAGCCAGCCAGCACTAATAGAAGCCATTCCAGCTTTTAGCATATTTTGCATTTATTTCTAATCGTTAATGGAACCATTGGCTGAAAACCCATTCTAGAGTCTGACCTGGGATCTACAGCTAGTTTCCCTAATGGTCATTTCTAGAGTATCTCTTCTCTCCTACCCATTTTTTTTTCTTTCAAATCAGGAATAGAGTTTTCCTGGAATGGCTCCAGCTCCCTACCTTTCCCCAGAGGATTTGACCCAATCAGTCATCGGTCTGGGGTGGAGTCTGGGGCCTTGGCTTTGCGGTTGGCCTGATGATGTCTTGGCATTTCGTCCCATACCCTGGGCTTTGTCTTTCCTTCCTTTATTTATTTTTTTAAGATTTTATTTATTTATGCATACAGAAATGGGGTACAGGCCAGAGGCTCAGGGGCAGTGAGAGCATTCACCAGTGACAGAGTGGGGAGCAGAACAGGCTGATCCCGAAGTACACTGCTGAGGGGAGCAGCGGGCAGGTCAGGAGAGGTCTGCCACGCCATGTGGGTCACCTCTGGGTGGGGATAGAACTCGCACTGAAGTGACCATAGCTTGGCTTAGTTCTGCAATGCAGCGCTCCAACCCATTGTGCCACTGTGTGTGTGTGTGGGGTTCTCTCTCCTTCCTTTAGTTGTTTTTACCCTTCCTAACTTGAGGGCTGGTTGCCTTGCTAGATGAGAAGGCAGCAGAGCAGGTGAGGATCTGGGCCTCTCCTCTGACATTTGAGAACATTCCTCCCTCGGACTAGACCTTCCCTTCTTTCATAACTACGAAGCTGAAGTCTCCTTCAGCACATTTTCTGGAATCAGTTGGCTGTGGAGCGCTTGTGCTGAAGGCAAAGCCAGGGCCTTGCTCAGGAGAGAGTCACTCAGGCCTTCGACCTGTTTTAAGGTCAGGCCCTGACCCACAGAGAGATCTGAATGACCTGACAACTTCAGAGCTGGACTTCTGCGAAGGATGGCTACAGCCATTGTGATGACATGAGTGATGGACACTGAAAAACCTCTGGGTGCTAAAACAGCAACCAACATTTAGTCATGGCGTGAGACAGCTCACTGTCACTACACTCTTCCCTGGGGGAGAGGGTTGGGAGGCTTTTTAAGTATACAAGAATCTCCAGTTCAAATGTAATCATCATCTTTTGACAAGTCCTAGTGTTGAGGGGAAGGATGTCCTAAGGGAACTCTGCAGAGTCTCATGGACTCCACCCCTTACTCCAGCTTTCTGGACTCCACCCCCTACTCCAGTGACTGGAAACTACAACTCCCAGCAGCACCAGGGAGAGAACTGCAGGACCCCAGGGCGGAGCTAGCAGGAATTCTGGGACATTTGGGGATAAATAGGGCGCGATTGCATCTCGCTCTCTCACTGGGGAAACGGCTCTTCTGACCACGGGACTTGGTGTGTTCAGTCAGCCGAGCGGTAAGGTATTCCAGTTACTTTGTATCCCGCTCTCTTTCCCTGGGCTGTTTCCTATTCCTTTCCCCTTTTGTAAATAAGCCCGTTATTGACCCTTTTGTGTGTACCTGCAGTGTAACTGAGTTGTGAGCGCGCGGGTAAGGCCCCACAGGCAGGCGGCCCAGTCCACTCTGGGCTACCCTGTAACACTAGTAGATACAAACTTCCAGATGACTGTCCCTTAAAAACAAGGAGGTTAGGGTCCTCCCTGGTGACCCAAGGGATTAAAGCACATCACTGAGAAGTTATCAAAGCCACTACAGCACCCTGGCCAGGGACCTGACCCACATGGTGCGGCAGACCTCTCCTCAGCAGTGCATTCACTCAGTCTGCCTGTTCTGCTCCCCACTCTGTCTCTGGTGAATCCTCCACCCCGGACACCTCTGGCCTATACCCAATTTCTGTAATCTTAAATAAGTAAATCTTAAAAAACAACAACAACAAGGAGGTTATAGAAGCAGTGGGGTCTGTATAGAGGCACCCTGGTCTCTCCAACTAGGGAAAGAGAAGAGTGAGTGAGTGGTGTGTAGAAGAAATGATATGTGACTTTGACCTAAATAGCAAGCCGGGACTCTGAATTCTTACTCTCCCGCTGCTGCCTGGCCATTCTCAGGTCTGCTCAGGTGTCTCTCAATCCCTGAGTTCACCTTAGCCTCCCTTTCTCTTTATGTTCTGGGGGTCCTGGGGGTACACAGAGAGTAGTGCTAGAAGCAGAAGAGGGAATTCTTACTTAGGAGTGTTTCTCCCGGATTAGACTATGAGGCTCTGTGAGCTCACATGGCACCTTGATCACCACCTATTTATATACCCCCAGTGCCTGGAATGTAGCCTGACACAGGGGAGATGTTCAAAACATGATTAGAGAGTGGATGATGGAAACATGGGACATTCCCAAGGGGTGCTGATTTCTCCCAGAGCTGGGCACGAGCTCCCTCTGCTCTCCTGCTCACTGTTACCCAAAGCTAAGGGCATCCTTGTCACTCAGGGTGCTGCCGTGACTGCCTCCGCAGGCCCTCCCCTAGGGCCCCTACCCTAGCTCGGCCTGTGCCGTAGAACCTGACACCCGCTGCCTCAGTTAGCTCTGGATGCATGGGGATCCCCCCGCGGGGGTCTTGCAGAGACCGCACAGATGAGCAGCCTCCTGAAGTTGTATGCTGTGCCTTGGAAGGATTTACAGTGTCTTTCTGCTTTCAAAGCTGAAGGTTGCTCTTTGGATCATTTGCAAATTGATTCCTAGCAGCAAAAATCGTTTCCAGATCCCTTTGGTACTGACTGGTAACTTCATTGTACCTGACAAATGCTTGTAGTGTTTAATTCACTTGAATTTCTTGTTGCATATTCTAATGACTCCTGATCCCGGCCAGGAGACCAGGGCCAGTCCTTCTAGAGAATGCGTCTCTCTGCTGACCTGTGCAAATGATGCTCTCGTCTCTCCCTGTGCCTGACTCCTTCACAGAGAAGTTGAAGAATTCATCGGGATAATGAAAGTGATCTATGTGTAAGAAGGACTCAGGACTTGCCTGGAAAATTAGGAGGCAAAAGTGCACCCCAGGTTCCAGCCTGGGTCAAACAGATGCATCGGGATGCTTGAGTGCCCCACGTGTGCCACGGGGCAGCGCGCCTTAGCGCAGCCACTATCCTGACACACACAGGCTCTCTGCTGATGATGCGCCCAGGCAGTATCTACCCTTCATGTTGTCTGCACAGGATTCAACGTCCTTCCCCTGGCACCTGGGGAGGTTTCACCCCATCTTCTGAACTAGTGCCAGTGGAGTGAGGGACAGCCACCATAGGGGGGGTCACGTGACCTGCTGCTCGGGACACCACATGCCCACCAGGGCTTCTGCAATCTGAGGCTGTGTTGGCAGGGACGGCATGCGCGGAACACATCTGGCACATCTGGACACCCTCTCACCACTGATCTGTGGCTGTGTCCCCCATACCGCTGGCCAGTTCGGAAGCACCTGTGTGGTCAGGCATGTGTATTTGCTTTTGCCAAGCTGTCCTCCTTCATGCACAAGCCTGTGGGAACTGAATGGGGTCTCTGGGCCTGGGAGAAATGCCCCCGACTGACCCTGCCCAAGGAGGCTGGGTTTGTGATATGTCTCGCTCATTCAGCTGAAAAGGGCTGGAGCGAACTTCTAGCTGGAGACTTGGACGTCCACTGTCAGCTTCAGAAGATGGGAGGCAGAGAGACCTCAAGAAAGACAGAGGGGATGAGATAGCCCAGGAAAGGCAGGGTGGTGCTCGAGAGGGCGGGGGAGTGAGCACCCGGAAGGGCGACTCTTGCAGGTACTGACCTCCACCACGTGGGAGGAGAAGCCAGTCTGTGACATTTCCAGCCCGAAGGAGGTTTCGTTCTTGTTGGTGCCTGAAAGAGAGGAAGCAAGGATGTCACTCTGGGCTTGACAGTTCAGCACCAAACAGCTGCCACTCACTCTGCAGCTCCACTTGTGTCCTGCTGCCCACCACGCCCCCACCCCCATCCCCCCAGCACCCCTTCCCGCCCCGGCACACTCCCCTCCCTCCAGCAGGCAGCCTGACCCCTGGGAGACAGCAAGCATCTTCCGGAGCCTGTGGGTTTATTGTCAGTAGTCCACTCACTCCCTGCTGAATAAGGGATGCTACAAGACTATCAAATCAGGGGAAGATGGGAGAAGTGTGGGGTAGAAATAGCCTGGAATCTTGGCAAGAAGAGGAACCAAGTTCCCACTTGGTTCATCCTTGTTGTTCACTGGATTTCGCTGCAGATGCCTCTGGGTGATTCCCAAACATCAAATTGAATCTTAGGGGAGATCCCTGAGAGCACTGAGTCCTCCCTGCCCATGTTGGCATCCCACAGGGCCGCCCAGAGCAGGTCACTGGAGCCAACACTCTCATCACCCGAGGGGATCATTTGGAGAAGTGCATGGATGTGGAGGTTCAAGTTCTAGTGAGAGCATCCACACAAGTTCCTACTTCTATTCTTTCCTTGTTTGCGAGGCCTGTTTTTGCCTCCCTTGTGGCTCAGCAGCTCATCATTTCCAGTGCCCTTCTGGGGTTTGGGGACAGAGCTTCTCTGTCTTGACAGTCCCCACAGGGCAGAGCCTTGGACTGGAAGGGCCCCGCAAAGCGATAATCCACGGCTCAGGTGAGGTCTGTGCAAGTCCAAACTGGAGCTTGAGTCAGGAGGAGAGAGCAATGGAAGGACCCCCTGCCAAAAGTGCTCTGGTGGGATTAAATGTTTCGGGCTCTGGAGGCAGGCCCAGCTGGGTTCATACTAGGGTTGCCAGACGAAAATAGGACGCCCAGTTAATAGGAATTTCAGACAAACAATGAAGAATTTTTTAGTATATGCCTGCCACAAATATTGTAGTTTATATTTGCTAAATCTGGCAACCCTCAGGTCACTGTGAAACCCCAGCTCCTTTCCAGCCTTGGGGTACTTGGGCAAGCCACTCTGAATTTCAGCTACCACAGTGGTCAAAGGAGAAGAATAGGACAAAGCCATCTTGGGGGCTGTTGGACACAGCTCACGCCCAGCACAGAGCAACACACAACGGTTGGAGTTTATTAGAAAAGGCGACTTGTGCCAAGCCGTTCCATTGTTTGATTTTGCTCTAGGAGCCCAGGAGCATGAACCTCCTCTGGGAATGTGTCCTCTACCTTCCAAGCTGAAGATCCTGTCCCCCAGGGCATCAACAATGTCCTTCAGGGCCGCTTCGTCGGTGACGTTGAAGAAGTGCTTGTCATCGGGGTCACTGGCGATGTACTTGATTTCATTGAGAAAAGTTTCAGGATTGATCCCCCTGCGGTTATAGTAGCCCAGGACCTGCCAGGGACAGGGGCAGGGGTGACAAACTGGACTTAGTGCAGCCTCCAACACAACGCCCTCGCCCCCTCGCCGGGCACCCTTGGGTGGGGCAGGAGCCACTGTCTTGGCAGGCTTGGGCTGAGGTCTCACTTGCCTTTTGAAACAGGTCATCGTGCATAAGGTCTCCATTCTAAGATAATGTTCTGGGGGTTGGGAGAATGGAGGTGCTTGTGGTTTTCTGAGGATGCAGACCCTCCGTGGCGATGGGGAACTCCCCCACAACTGCTGTGGCTAGGGTTGGGCAGGGCAGAGTTGCCACTTACTCTTTAGGAGCAACTGAAACAGGAGAGGCCCATCTGAGGGCCGGCAGTCCCCTCACTGTGCAGATTATGCCCTCGGGAGTCTGCAGGGTTTGCTGGCCCAGCCTGTAGCCCGCAGTGGGGGTGGGGAGCAGGAGGGGGACAGGACTCACGGCCACTGCGTATCTGGTCACGTTGTCCCGCTCGCTTTGCTGGATCACCTTCTCCAGGTCGGGGCTGTCGTGCGACTCGCCATCTGTGATGACAATCATCACTTTCTTGGCCCCTTTCCTTCCACCCTTCTGGAAAGCCTCTGAGCTGGAATCCGAGCAGAGGGGAGGAGTGCATGAGGAAGGTGGCAAGGGGCAGCTCCAAAACCAGGCCACTGAGTAAGCACTGGGGCCTCAGACCTGGGGAACAAGAATTGTGCTACCTGCTGACCCTCATGGGGTGGGGCGCAGGTGGGTCTGGTATCTGCTTATTTTTAAAAAGTGACTTTTACAGCTGAGATGGAAAAAGGTACACAATGATGTAAAAACAATCTATTATATTGTTAAAAAATAAAACCTAAAAAAAGAAAAAAGTGACCTTTAAGGGCGCTCCCTGGTGGCACGAAGGGTTAAAACACCACATTATGAAGCTCTCCGAAGCCACTGCAGCATGAGTTCAATCCCTGGCCAGGGAGATGACCATATGGTGCGGCAGACCTCCCCTGACCCGCTCGCTGCTCCTCTCAGCAGTGTACTTTGTCAATCTGCCTGTCCTGCTCCCCACTCCCCTCTCACCCACCACACCTCTGGCCTGTACCTCAGTTCTGTAAGCGTAAATATATAAATCTTTTTAAAAAAGTGACTTTTAAAAGTCTCTCAACGGGCCTGATCTGGCTGTGGAGAGAGGGTGGGGGTGGGTCTGGGAGGAGAGCTCAGTGATCTGGAAGCCTTTGCAAACGCTAAGTTAGTGGTTCCAACCTCCAGCTACACATTAGAACCATCTGGGGAGCAGAAAGAAATCAATGCCCAGGCCCTGCCCTGGCTCAGGAGATCAGGGTCTCTGGGGTGTGGCTGGGTATTGGCAGATATCCGAGTTGAGGACCACTTTCTTAAACACTGAAAAGGTGACAGGCTGGACTAATTTAGCGTCCAAGCAGGACTAGCCCATGAAACTGACAAAATTCTGATTTTTCTTGAGGACACTTTGGTTCTGCCCTGGGAAATATTAAATACCAAATTCTAGGACAAATATTTCCCTTTCTCATTTTTTGTTCAGTACACAGAGAATGACCTTGGCTTGCCTGCTGGACAGTCCAGTCCAGGGGCTGGGAGTGAGTTAGGGGAGCACCAGCACCCTGCCCCTCGGCACAGTGGACAGTCTCTTGCAGCTGGCAGTTCACCCAAGGGCACAAGGACAGTCTCTTGCAGCTGGCAGTTCACCCAAGGGCTGGCTCCTGGGCCATCGTTGGCTCTTGGTGACTCTGTGGCCAACCTTTCTTTAGATCTTGAGGGTCTGAGAAGTACAGATATGGTCTGGCCAAGAGTCTGGTCCAACAGGTAGAACTTTCTAATAAGGATATGAAAAGTTACCCTTGGATTCAGGGCATCTGACCACAGACGCCAGCTCCTCGATGCCAGGTTAAGGTCATCTCTGACCCCAAGGCCTTGGTGACAGGGGTGCCTCCTGCTACCGGGAAGCCAGGGAGCTGCTGTGAGAAATTCACAAAGCCTGAAATACACTCGTTCAGAGCATCTTCAAATTACCAGTTAAGAGAAACAGCCAAAAAAAAAAAAAAAGAGAAACAGCCCATCTGCCATTCTCTAGCAGCTCAGAGAAACAGCCCATCTGCCATTCTCTAGCAGCTCTCTGATGCTCTAGGATGGGCTGACTCCAAAAAGCTTTTCAATTTTAGTATGAGCTGAGGACTTGAGGGGAGACTCACTCAACATGACTAAAGCAGATTTGGGGCTTAAACCAAATCCAGTGGAGGAACAACCCTGCTTGCCCCATAAAGGAGATTCTAGATGCTTCCATGATCTCACTGAAGAGTCAACCCCAAGAACAAACTATGCAAATAGGTGTGACGGGGAGATTTTGTCTTTAAGAAGTGACTGCTCAAGACCCTTGAGGGCCTCGACCTTGCTGTATGGAGAGGAAGGGCATGGGTCTGGAGCAGAGTTCAGTGTCTGATCTGGAGACCTTCACAAATGCTAAGCGAGTGGTTCCAACTCCCAGCTGCACATTAGAACCAAGAAAAATGTCAAGACCATCTCTCAGAGTGGAATAGCATGACTCTGTGTGAATGTTCAATAGGGCGAGCGCTGGCCCGAGTCCCGAGATTGAAGGTTGAGGCTTATATTGTATATATTGTATATTGTATATAAAAGTCTTGGACTTGTCCCCTTGAAGGTCACATTTAAAGTCATTTAGAGCAGCGAGAACTTTATACTCACAATAGGTTCTGTAAACCTGGAAGGCAGAAATAGCCCATGGAAAAGTAGGTCACCTCATGTCTCCTTCCTGCTCAAAACCTGCATGGGCTCCCATTCCTCTCAGGTCCTGAGGAGAGCACACCAACTCCTGGTGATCTGGCTCGGTTACCAACTCCTCTCCTTCCCCCCATGAGTCGTCTTCCTACTTACTCCCCTCCATTCACTCACACTGTGCTCTTTGTTGATGGTGGAACCAGGCAGAGTCATGTTTTAGGGTGTTGGTTTGAGCTGCCTCTCTTTGTCCCAGTAGGAAGTTCTGCCCCAGATAATTCTGACCAACTCCCTTACCCTAGAAGACTCCACTCATATGTCAGCTCTCAGTGAAGCCTTCCCTGACTATCCTGCTGCTAAAGTGTCCACCCTCTCCCACCTGCCTGACCGCCTTTACCATGCTCCATTTCCCTCGATAGAAGTTCATAGCCTGAATCTTTGTACTTCAGCAGGAGATGATACCTTAGGAATCACTGAATGGAGAGAGAAAACCTTTCTCCTTCCAAGGCACTGGCTGTAATTTAGGACCAGAACTTGGCGGGCGGGGAAGATCTGATTTCAAACTGCACTTGAGATAGACTGCAAACCTCAGCGTGCTCACAAGTCAGGGACAGATCAAATTACCCAGTGAGTCACACACTTGGAACGGACCTGGCCCTGGCTTGCTGGGCTGTGAAATGAGACCTATGCTGTGTCCCTGCGTGGAGGAGTCAGCTTCACACGGAGGAAGAGAAGCCAGGGTTGGGGAAGTGGGATGGGTTTCCTCCATGGCTTCAGTCATTCCACAAGAGCTTGTTGGGAGTCTTGGGGCTGACCCCAATGAGGGCAAAACATAAAAAAGGCCCCTCCCCTGTGAGGCTGAGTAAGAGACAGCAGCACGCGGAGGAATGCCCCTTTAGAAACAACTTGAGCGAGTTTATCAGCAAGCAGAAATATGTTAGTGGAGCAGTAAACTTAATGATGAGGTTGGAAATGATGAGGTTTCTGACCACATGAAATCTTGCTGCTACTAAATAGCTGGCGTATCGTGGAATTGTGTTAAACACATTAACCAGCCCTCTGTGAGGAGGGATTATAAGGTAACAGGGACTGTGGTCTCCATGAACATAATCAGAATTCATATTCTAAGTACAAAATTTGTCTGTTAAAACTCGAAATGCCTCTGTCACAGTCAGCTTAAGCTTTTAGCAGGTCAGGAGGGACTCAGCTTGAAAGAGTGTGGGGGAATTGCCTTTAAAGAAACTGGTCAGTGAGGGTGAGCCCAAACCCCTGAGCAGTGGGATCAGCACGGACTCATCTGCATGCACATTTACTTGATGCATGAGTTCTGCTGTGATTTTAAAGAGCCAGCCTCATACGCTGCCACCACAGTTGCAGATTTTGCTATGTTCTTCACCTTCCATTGCTGATAAATGTGCTACCAGAAGATTCTGCCCTCGTAGAACTGACAAGCTTTTTAGAAGGTCTGTGTGGCAGAGTGAGTTTCCAAAGTTGGCTGCAATAACATCTCCATCCTGAATATTATTCTGCAATGTGACCTTCCATTCCTCCCCCAGAGACAGACCCCCATTCTTGACCCTCTGCATCTGGGCTGGCCTCGGTGACTTGGGAATGAGGCAGAAGTTGTATTTCGGGATCCTGAGGCCAGGTGTGGGCAGTGTGGAGCTCCTGCC